CTGGATGGCTCTTGTGGTCTTTTCCAACTCTATGATTCTATGATTCTAGACAGTGGAACACACTCCCTCTGACAGTGGTGGAGTGTCCTTTGGAGGTTTTTTAACAGAGGCTGGGTTGCCATCTCTTAGCGGGCTGCTTTGATTCTGTGTTTCTGCATGGTAGGAGTTGAATTTGATGGCCCTTGTGGTCTCTTCCAACTCTATGATTGTATGATTTTATGATTCTAAAAAAAGCAATTTTTTGGTCTCGGTTCAGTACTGCAACTTCATAAAAGTTGAAAGCAGCAATCTTAAGTCACATTCTGTTACATTGGTTGGCTCTGTATTCTATTCTCCAAGAAATAGTGCAAACTGAGTCCACTTTAACTGCCCTGACTCAGTGCTAGGGAATTATGGGAACTGTAGTTTATTGTGGCACCAGAGCTCTCTGACAGAGAAGCCTCAATGTCTCAGAAAAAAATTACAATTCCCATGATTCCCTAGCACTGAGCCAGGGCAGTTAAAGTGGACTCAATTTGCACTATTTCTGGCGGTCTGCAAAGGCCCTAAGATAGCTATACTGAGAGGTAATATCAACCCTGTCATTAGGAAGGTTCAATCTGAGATTGATATCCCAGGTAGCATACGTGAGACATCATGCTTTTACTTGTTGTTATTGTATTATTTTTAATTGCCAGAGTTTGGGAGAGGGGGTTATAGGATTGTCTGCCTTAGGTGTACTTTGCTAGTGTCAGGTCCTATACAACTTTGCCTCAATGCATGGCTGTAGGAACACAATTTGCTGTTCTGCCTCAGGTGGCTAAATTCTTAGTCACATACTACTGAGAAGTGAACCCAACTATGGTATTTACCTATAAGTAAGTCTGCTTAAGATAGGAGACTTGATGTGATACCTTTAGCTGGCTATTGTTCAGAAATCAGTGTGTAACTGTACCTTTGGGCAAAATAATTCTTCCTCCATCCCTCATGTAGTTTCGCTGCTGACCCATGTTGTGTCCTTGTCTTATCAGCTGTTCCTCCTGCATAGGAAAGCTTTCACAGCAGGTTTTCTTGCCATGCAGATATGCCATGTCCTCTGTTTGTCCTTTCCTGTATCCATTCTAATAGTACAAAGAAGAAGGAAAAAGCTAGCCAGATGGTACCTAGAGGCAGAGTTCTGGATTTACCCCAGCTGTACAGGTGTTTGCTAAGTGAATTCCCTGTAAGCTATCCTGAAGGGTTTCTTTTAATTCAGGGAGAGCACAAATTACAAAATGCCAACAAAGGAAACCATTGTTTATGTTTATGTGTTTGTATGTGTGTGTGGGGGGGTAAGCATATAAAGGAATCGGAAGAGAGTCAAAGAAAAACAATCAGTCTTGATAAATTTCAGGCGCAGTGTAATTGATTGCAGTGTTGCTGCATTACATAGCCATTAGTGACGAGGTCGTCCACTAATTCTGCCTTGTGCCTAGCCAAAAATAAAATGAGATCTAGGTGAGCCCTTTCTAAATAAGATCAATCAAGGCTATTTAAAGATAATTAAGTCATTTTTCAACCAGTACTTTCTGAAATGACCTATTCCATACATCACCTGGAGAGTGGAAGCAGGGGTTACAGAAGCTCCTTCTCCATAGCAAATGTGTTAACTGCTGCAGTAGGACAATGTATTCATCCAGTCGGTTCAAATACTGGTTTAGGTATGAATCACTGGATGTTCTTTGGGATGTCATTCTCAGTGTTTAGATTTTAACAGCAGATATGCCAAATGATGTATAAAGGCCAGATGTTGGACTATGGTACTCAGCTCTAGCCAGAATAACTAATGGGGACAGATCATTAGAGTTGTAGCCAAAGATCACCTAGAGGTCCCACAAGTTGTCTGTGTTTGGCTTAGACTCTAGCATCCTAAATGTATCAGGTATTATTTATTATTATTATTATTATTATTATTATTATTATTATTATTATTATCAGAGTGGCAGTCATAAACTCAGCCAGTGGGATCTGAGGAATATGACACAGAGAAGGTAGACCCCCAAAGGCCTTGAGCTTCATATGACAGCTCCCTCCTTGAATCTGAGCAGCTACTAACGGCATACTTAAACGATACAGAACTTCAGGAAAATGGCTCCCAAATTAGGTCAGAACTGGGGGACATCCATCCTTTGCTGCATATTGATGGGAACAGGATCAGCATTGGAAAAGTCAATGCCTCTTGAAGAAACATAAATGAGAAATGCTGACCAATTAGCCACCTGGCATCTTAAGGTCTGGGAGTTCTTGGATTTTGCAACTAGTCATTCTACCAGGCTTTCAGTACTTTTTGTACTTGTGCGCTTATTTTAGATTCTCGATCTCTAGACAGGCTTACATTTTACATCTCTTTGTCTTTCCCTTTTGTCTTTTGGTTATCAGCCCTGCTGGTTTCTCATCAAAGTTTTTGGGATGGCTGAGACCTTGCTACTTGCCTCCCTTCAGCTCTGGTAAATTCCCTTGGATATTGATGCATGACCTGGACTGGCTTGACTAACAGTTTTCCCTATTATAGCCTTCCTGTCTTGGGACACGCTACCTCTAGACACAAGACAAAGGGTGCATTTAATTATTAGCAAAAGAAGTAATCTTTGCATATATTCTGAACTTTTGTCCTTTATTGTTACTTCATGTATTGTAGGAAGCATTGTATTGTATTGTATTGTATTTATCCATATAGAGAACTGCAAAGGCTCTCAGAGTGGCTTAAAAATTATTAATTTGACATTTACCTGCACACAGGCTTACAACCTAAATAAGACATAACACACAAGGAAAATGGAACGGCAGTGGGGGGGGGGGGGGAGGAGGGACTAAGTCCAGCAGATATTACCTCCCTGTTGAAAAATGAAATAAATATGGCCTGACTTATTCTTGCATTTTAAACAGCAGTTGTGCAGATATCAATAGCTGAAGCTTTGTGCTGATCTGAGGTCAGTTTTACTTTGTATTAATTTTTGCATGCTCCACTGCTCTTTTGGGGCATAACTGGGAGAGGAGTTGGCAACCAAGGCATGAGTTTTAGTCTTGGACCCTCTGGCAGATGCTGCCTACAATATCTTGCCCTGCACAAGCCTGCACTGCAAACACAATCTTTCTAGAAGCTCCTTTTCTCAAAACCTTCCCTTCTAAATTCAGACATATAGCTGCTGATTGGAAGGATCTTTTAGAGAGTAGGACCCAGAAATGCTTCTTTGGGCATATTTAAAGGTAAAGGTAGGTAAAAGTTTCCCCTTTGTCATGATTGTCTAGTCGTGTCCAACTGCAGGGGGCAATGTTCTTCTTGATTACTAAGCTGAGGGAGCCAGCAGTGTCAAAGGTGACTCCATGATCATGTGGCCAGCATGACTAACTGCCGAGTTGCACAGAACATTGTTACCTTCCCACCAAAGTGGCATCTATTTATCTATTTGTACTTTTTCATGCTTTTGAACTGCTAGGTCGGGAGAAGCTGGGACTAGTGATGGGAGCTCACTCCATCACATGGTGCTTGGATCTCGAACTGCCAACCTGGTGACCTTGCAGTTGTCAAAGTCAGCATCTTAACCACTAAGTCACCACATCCCTATTTACTGAATGTTAAGTAAAAGCCTGTTTTTGGCCCTTTAATGGGGATTGTATTGTTTTAAATCATAATTGGTTCAATTCTTTTCATTGGTCATGCTGTTTTAAAGATAGGTGTCAGGACTGATTTCTCTCCTGGGGCTGCAGGTGCATCATTTTGGCCCCCTCTCATCCAATGAACACTCAACTCTAATTGGCTGCTTATGCAACAAATGATCACACTGGAAACAACCAAGTTTTGATATGAATTTATGTTAGCATGTTGTTGTCACTTTTTAAAACAGATTCCCTGCTGGATAAGAGAGTCCATCTAGAAAAAGCAAGTTGTTTCCAGTTATGGCCTTGGCAGATGACTGCAGATGACTTGGCCCTAGACAATGCATGAAACCAAGAGGCACCAATGGATGCTGGTGGTTTCAAGGCCAGTGGGGCAGTAAATCCATCTTGGGATTTATTCAAACTTTAAAGGAGCTATCCAGAGTGCTGACTCTATTCTGGGCAGCATATTCACTGCCCTAGTGGCATCAGAATCAGCAGCATGTATTGAAGGTCACCCCCATTGTTTTTTTCTCCAGCAACTGGTACACAGATATATTCCCCCTGTATCAGGGTTAAAAGCCATTGACAAAATCAATTCATATCTAAACTTGTGTCCATGTGTTCATCTTGTGATCTTGATTTTTAAAAACTAAAAAATAGGGCTGGACAAGGATTCCTTGATCTTACTTATCCTCTCTGATCCGCACTCTGATCTCTGATTATGGTGGTATAGGAATACCAGCATGGAAAGATAGATAGCTAGATAAATATTTATTATGGTCACAGAACACCATAAGAACAACAATATACAGTGGTACCTCTACTTACGAAAATAATCCGTTCTACAGCCCATTTCGTAAGTAGAAAATTT